GGGAGGAGGGTAGAGAGAATAGTGCAACAATGAATGAATGGAAACCCAAAATCTCTGTAAATGTTTATGAAAATTAATAAAATATAGAAAGAAAACAAACAAACAAAAAGACTTCTTAAATATATTTTTTCTTTAAATAGCAGTCATTAGTGACCAGCCCAATTTGTTGCTGTTGTTCAATGATTAAATGTGATGATTGTTATACAGCATTGTGTATTTTGGTTTTGCTGCTTCATTTAGCCAGTAAGTTTTTCTTTTTCAGAATAAAAAATATATGGACATTTGAAAACTGACTCTTCAAAATGTGCTGAATTCTAAAATTGAAATATGATCTGTCAGATTGTGCTGACGACCCTAAAGTGATACAGAATATGGGCATGTTTTTTAGGGAAGAGGGTGTTAATGGTGTGATTTACCTGGACTCTAATCCAAATGGAATATGCAAAACCAAACTAGCCAGCTTCAAGTCACCTCTCCCTCACGGAGAACCCACAGATGTCAGAGCACCACAGGGTTTTTTGTTGCATGAAGTTTTCCTGCCAGACTCTTCATATGAGGTGCTTGTTGGATGGACTTAAACAAACTTTCCACTTTTTAAGTTAGCAGCCAAGTATGTTAACCATTTGTACTATGCCAAGGGAAGGAAATTTAGGTGGTTTAGTGGTAAGGAATTGTGCTGCCTTTGTAAAGAGATGAAATCCATCAAATTGGGGAAAGACAGCATCTTTAACAAATGGCACAGGCAAAATTTGCATGACATTAAAATAAGATCCATACTCACATCATATATAAAAACAATTATCTCAAGATAGATCAAAGACTTCAGCATAAAATCTCAAAGTATAAATATCATCATAGAGGAAAACAGGGAAGACCTATGCTCCGTACTTTTTGTCTTTTATTTATTATAATGTGCGGATCATAACAAACTATGGATAATATTGAGAAGAATGAGAATCCCAGAACACTTAATTGTGTCCATGCAAAACCTATGCCTAGTCTAAGAAGCTGCTGTCCAGACATAGCAAAGGGATACTACACAGTTTAAAATAAAGAAAAAAAAAATGTGTGTTTTAAGGCTGTATCTTTTATCCATACCTATTAAAGCTTAACATCAAGAAAACAAAGATTTTCACCACTGGGCCAACTGGAAGCATTATGATAGATGGTGAAGAGATTTAGTTTGCTTGACTCCACAATCAATACTCTTGGTACCAGCAGAGAGGAAATCAAAAGACAAATTGCATTGGGAAATTTGTCTGGCTGGGACCTCTCCAGAGTACTGAAGAGCAATGATGTCAGTCTGGAGACTAAAGTGTGCTTGATCCAGGCCATTGTCTTTGTAGTAAATTATTACAAATAGCTATGCGTCAGAGATCTGGAGAATGACTAGAGATGATAGAAAGAGAATTGATGTCTTTGAGCCATAGTGCTGGAGAAGTGTTGAAAATATCATGGACTGCCAGGAGAACAAACACATTCATCTTAGAAAGGATGAAACCAGGCTGCTCCTGGAAGACAAGGATTCTGAGACTTCGTCTGACATATTTTGGACATGATGCAAGGAGGGACCAGTCCTTAGAGAGAGAAGTCATGCTTAGAAGGGTGGAGGGACAGAGAAAGAGAGGAAGACCATCGATGAGATAGATTGATTCAGTGATTGAGGTAATGGGGGTAGGTGTGTCAGAGATATTAAAGTTGGCACAGGATAGAGCAGTTTTCAGGGCTATTGTATACAGGGTCGCTATGAGTCGCAAGTGACTCAACAACACAATGACAACAACAGCAACAACAATTAAATCCCTGTATGCTGAAGAAATAATTCAGGACTAGCCTTTATGAAGAAGAATGTAACATCAAGACTGAAGGAAAACTCATCAACCACCTGCATCATGTGTGTGACACAACCTTACTCACTAATAGTGAAAAAGAGCTGATGTGCTTGCTGCAGAAGATAAAAGAATACAGTGACTACTGCCTTCAATATGGATTACCTCTTACTGTCAAGAACACACAAATCTTTACCACTGGACCAGCAGACAACATCGTGACAGATGGAGGAAGTATTGAAATTGTCAATGATTTCAACTTACTTGGACCCACAATCAATACCCCTGGTACTGATAAAAAATAAAATGATATACTGCAAAATCTGCTGTCAAGGACTTTCCCAAAGTTCTAAGGAGCAGCAATGACAGTTTAAAGACTAAAGTGGGTTTGATCTAATATGGTCTTTACTTCCTGTGCATTTGAAAGTTGGACAATGACAGAGAATGTTAAACAAAGAATTGATGCCTTTCAGTTATAATGTTGGAGTTGTTGTTGTTGTTATGTGCCGTCGAGTCGTTTTTCGAATCATAGCGACCCTATGCACAACAGCCCTAAACCCTGCTCTATCCTGCGCCAACAGCACTGCCTCTGATACACCCATCCTGATTACCCCAGTCACCGAATCAATCCATCTCATAGAGGGTCTTCCCCTCCTGCACTGTCCCTCCACCCTCCCAAGCATGATGTCCCTCTCCAAGGAC